TTGAGAGTCCCTGCTTAAGCTTGAATAAACGACCCTCGTGTGTTTGCATCAGAATCGGCTCCTCAGTGGTCTTTGGGGACTTTGCGACCTGGGCACAACATTTGGGGGCTCGTCTGGGATCCCCCAAGACCCCAGGATCCCCGTACCAGAGGGTCAACGCCGGCCAGTGAGCATCTGATGTCTCTTTGTTTGTCTGCAATACTGGGGGCCCAATTCTGAGTAGGTCGGCAGACAGTCTAGGCGGACGCGCTGCTAGGGCCACCGACCTGGGATCCTGGAAGACGTTCCGGATCCTTCTGGAGGGGATGGAGTGCCCCATGAGTATAAGTCTGTGAGACTTCTGGAGGGACAGTGCGGGTCGCTCCCACGGTATGGCGTGTGGCCGTCATCCCATTTTCAGTATTGCCTCCAGTCAGGCGGAGGTCGGTTTTGTCCTGCTTTTTGTTTTTCTGTTGTGTTTGTTTGTCTGTTTATTGTGGTGACTTGGACTGAGATGATGGGACAGACTGCGACCACCCCCCTGTCCCTCATGACAGACCATTTTAGAGAGGTTAGAGAGCGTGCTCATAGTCTAAATTAAAAAAAAAAAAAAATCCAGACTTGTCCTTCTGTGTAGTTCGGAGTGGCCTTCCTTTGAGCATGGATGGCCCCCCGAGGGAACTTTTGATTTGCAGATCATATGCAGGGTCCATGGAGCTGTTTTCCGTCCCTACACTGGACATCCTGATCAGGTTCCCTACATTGTCACTTGGGAGAGTCTAATCTGCAACCCACCCCCATGGGTCAAGCCCTTTTTGCCTCCACAGAAAGAACAGCTGGAGGTAATCCTGACAACCTGTGAGAAAACTCCCAAAGAGCGTGGTGGGAAGAGACAAACTGAAACCGAGCTGACCGCGCTGCTTTACCCAGTCGTCCAAGGAGGAACTGAGGAAGATCTCCTCCCCCCCCCTTATAACTCTCTCTCTACTCCCCCACAACAACAGGCAGGGAGAGAGGTCCCGGCCCTGGCCGGAGCTGGGGAGGAAGGCCTGACTCCGGGTGCCGGCAGCTATGATGGCCATGCCCAGAACACTCGCCACGGGCATGCCACCTCGCCGGCAGGGCCGGCAGACTCTACTGTTTTCCCACTGAGAGCAATAGGGCCCCCTGATGAGCATGGTAACCAGCCTCATCATTACTGGCCCTTCACCACCAGTGACCTTTATAACTGGCGAATTCAACACACCAACTTCTCTGATAACCCTAGGGATTTGATTAACCTATTAGAAACTGTTTTGTTTACTCATCAGCCCACTTGAGATGATTGTCAGCAGCTCCTCCAGATCCTGTTTACAACAGAGGAGCATGAAAGAATCCAGAACGAGGCCAGGAAATTGGTTCCTGGTGACAATGGTCAACCCACCACCAATGATGATACTATCAGCACTTCTTTTCCTTCATCCCGGCCCAACTGGGACTTCCACACAGCAGAAGGTAAGGAGAGGTTCCAGGTCTATCACCAGGCTCTGTTGGGAGGTCTCAAAGCAGCTGCTCAAAAGCCCTGCAGCCTTCCTAGAAAGAATTCAGGAAGCCTTCTGTAGGTATACTCCTATGGACCCAGAAGCAACTGAGACAAAGGCAGCTGTAATAATGCATTTTGTCAACCAGGTGGCACCAGATAGTAGGAGAAAGTTACAGAAAGTAGACAGATTAAGAGAGAAGAGTATCCAGGGCTTAGTGGCAGTGGCAGAGCGAGTGCATATAACATCAGGGAAACCGCAGAGGAAAAACAGGTAAAAGCTGATAATCGCCAGATCCGAAACCTGGCTCAAATTCTTCTGGCCACCACTGCGGAAGAGCCAAGGGAACGTGAACATTGTCTGAGAAAGATTGCGGCAGAAGGACAAGGTAAGGGGGAACATAGGGATCGCCCCAGATCGGGAAAGAAACAGTGTGCTTATTGCAAAGAGGAAGGCCATTGGGCCAGAGAATGCCCTAAAAAGCCAGGAAGCCACCCCAAGGCCCCCATCCTGGCTATGGATGAATTGAGTGATTGGGGGGGATGGGGCTTGGCACCCCTCCCCAAGCCCAGGGTAACCCTTAGAGTGGAGGGGGAACCCATTGAATTCCTGGTAGATACCGGCGCTCAACATTCAGTTCTGCTTAAACCACATGGCCATATATCTGACAAAACTTCCTGGGTCCAAGGAGCCACAGGCATGAAAAAAAAATATTCATGGACTACCCGAAGAATGGTGGACTTGGGAGTGGGCCGGGTAACCCACTCATTTATGATTATACCTGATTGCCCCATCCTCTACTTGGAAGAGACTTGCTCACTAAGTTAGGAGCCCAAATCCATTTTCAGCCCGGGGGCGTGGAGGTCCTTAACCAAGAGGGAAAGCCCATCCAAGTGTTAAACATGAGCCTAGAGGATGAGTATCTGTTACATCAGAAACAGCCCCCTCCTGATTCTGACATAGAACAATGGCTTGCCAGGTTCCCACGAGCATGGGCTGAGACTGGGGGCATGGGGCTGGCTGCACACAGGACACCTGTGTTCGTAGAAATAAAGCCGGGAGCGGACCCTGCACGGGTTCGCCAATATCCCATGTCCCTAGAGGCCCGCAAAGGAATAACTCCACACATCAGGAGGTTACTTGCTCAGGGTATTCTAAGGCCCTGTCAATCGGCCTGGAACACCCCCTTGTTGCCGGTGCAGAAACCCCACTCGGATGACTATTGACCAGTGCAGGACCTCCGTGAGCCTTCCGCTGGCACCCAAAAGCCAGCACATCTTCGCATTTGAATGGAGCAACCCTGAGCAGGGCATCAACGGACAGCTGACCTGGACCCAACTTCCTCAAGGATTTAAAAACTCCCCCACCATTTTTGACAAAGCTTTGCATGAAGACTTGGGCTGGACAGAGGCTTTCCCCACCAAGCACGAAACAGCACAGACTGTGGCCAAAAAGCTTTTAAAAGACATCCTACCAAGGTATGGTTTTCCGTTTATGTTAAGATCAGATAATAGACCTGCTTTTGTCTCTAAGGTGAGTCAGAGTTTAGTGCAGGTCCTGTGGGCAAATTGGAAATTACATTGTGCATATAGGCCCCAAAGTTCAGGACAGGTAGAGAGAATGAACAGGACCCTAAAAGAGACCTTAACTAAATTAGCCTTAGAGACTGGCAGTGACTGGGTGGCTCTCCTTCCCTTTCCCCTCTATAGGGTATGCAATTCACCCTATAAGATGGGACTGACTCCCTTTAAAATTATGTTTGGGGTGCCCCCTCCCATCATCCCTAACCTCCAGTTTGAAGTGCTCACTGAGCTTGGTGATCAAGAGCTGCTATCTTCTTTAAGAGGTATTCAACTGATTCACAAGGACCCAGGACAGGACCAGAACCCAGACAAACCACTCTGGAAACTCATGGCCCAAACTTTCCAAACCCTAAATGCCTCTCGACCTGATCTTACTCAATCTTGTTGGTTATGTTATGATATTAAGCCCCCTTACTATGAAGGGATAGCCTTTCTGGGGAATTTTACTGAATCAGATAGTCCTAGCCAATGCAGATGGCAGCAGAAGGGTTCAGCTAGATTAACCTTGCAGTCGGTGGTCGGACGAGGCACATGTCTAGGTGATGTGCCTCCCACCCACCAACACCTGTGTAGCCAGACTCATTCAATGTCCTCAGAAAAATATTTCATACCCCCTTCAGATGGTTGGTGGGCATGTTCTACTGGGCTCAGCCCATGTGTACATGGAGGAGTACTCAATCGGACTAAGGACATTCGTGTGCTGGTGCAATTAGTACCTAGACTGCTGTATCATTCAGAGGAGGAAGTTTATACTCACCTAGCTCATTTAGTGGGGGCCCCCAGTCGGGTAAAAAGGGAGCCCATAACAGCAATCACCCTGACAGTACTCCTAGGCCTGGGCTTGGCGGGAGCAGGAACTGGGGTCTCCTCTTTAGTCTTACAAAACAAACATTACAATGATCTGAGGGCTGCCATAGATATTGATATAGAGAGACTTGAAAACTCCATCACACACCTTCAAGAGTCATTAACCTCCCTAGCGGAAGTGGTGCTCCAGAATAAAAGAGGCCTAGATTTAATCTTCCTACAACAGGGAGGGCTCTGTGCCGCCCTGGGGGAAAAAATGTTGTTTCTATATAAACCACTCAGGAGTGGTCAAAGAATCTATGGCACAGACTAGAGAAAGTCTTGCTAGACAAAAGCGAGAGCGAGAACAAACTCAAAGTTGGTTTGAATCCTGGTTTAGTTCCTCCCCATGGCTGACTACTCTGATCTCTACTCTACTGGGCCCCTTGCTTATTCTGTTACTACTGTTAACCTTTGGACCTTCTATACTCAATAGATTAGTCTCGTTCATCAGAGAACGCATTAACACTGTACAGCTGATGGTACTCAGGTCCCAATACCAGCCAGTTTCTACAGACCTAATAGAATTAACCCCCAGAGGCCCATGATTGGTCCTCTGTAGCATCATGAGAAGTGGGGAATGTGAGACCAAAGCGACTCCATTTTGCTAAAATCCACCACTCCCCTAGCCTCTCACAAATTAATGGTTAAAATGTGCATGCTCTGGGACAAAAGACACAATCTGTACCGAAGCAAAGTTCCTAAGTTAATTACTCAACCATCTGTTTGCCTAGGAAAAGAACGTTCCGGGACCCCTATCCATAGAACAATCTGTAGATGTGCTGACTGTCAGTACATAATGGTCGTGACTAACAGTCAGTGTGTCTGCTGACCATCAGTATGTGACAGTCGACCACTAACCTTTGTCCCTCATTTCCCTCGTAAAACCTACATGTAACCGCCCCTCAACCCGCCCCCCCCATGAACCTAGCCAATCAGAAATGTACACTTCATGCTTGCTAAATGTTAACCAATCATGTAACTGCTAAGTGAAAAATCTCCAAACCTTGCTGTAACCTCTATAAAAACCCCACTAATTTGAAATTCGGGGCTCTCAATCCTGACCCGCTGGGTCGGCGATGGTTGAGAGTCCCTGCTTGAGCTTGAATAAACGACCCTCGTGTGTTTGCATCGGAATCGGCTCCTCGGTGGTCTTTGGGGACTTCGCGATCTGGGCACAACAGCTGATGTCCTTCTAAGAAGAGGAGACACAAGGGCCACATGTGCCCAGGACAACCTCGTGAAGAAACAGCAAGTGGTGGCCCTCCTGAAGCCCAGGAAAGAGGCCTGAGAGGAAGGAGACCTCGCTGGTCTCTCGACATTGGACTGCCAGCTTCCAGGACTGGGGGAGAATGAATTTCCGTGTGAGCCACCCAGTCCGTGGCATTTTGTTAAAGGAACCCTACCAGAGAAATATCAGTGTTTTAGTTTGCATCTGCAGCTTGCTCATCCTACCTTGTCTACAATGCAGGTGAAGATGGGCAAGGCGGCGCTTGCCTGTAATCCCAGCACTCCGGGAGGCTGAAGCAGGAGGATGAGAATTCGAGCCCAGCCTGGGCAATTTATCGAGGCCTTGTCTCAAATTTTTAAAAAATTAAATGAGTGGGAGGCTGGAGATTCAGTTTAGTGCGAAGGACCCGATACAAAGAAAAAAAAAAAAGACAGCTGGTTCTCCATTCGGGCTCTTCTATCGACCGCTCCAGGGATTGAGCGGTCGGTCAAACTCACACCCTGCTCCGCTCCTGGCGGGGAGCGGATTCCTCAGATGCTGCTTCACCTGCCGAGCCCAGTAGCGACCCCTGAGTCTGGGGTCTGCGGTGCACGGAGGCGGAGAAGCGCGCAGCCACGTGGGTTTGGGGGGTTGATCCGGCCGCGCACAGCTGGCCGGCGGGACCCCGCGGGGAAGGGAAGCTTTCTTCCCAGCCTCCTGCTGGCCGGAAATCCCCCCGGCGCTCACACTGCCGGTGGCCTGGGGTCCTGCGGCAGGGCGGCGAGGGGGTGTGGGTGATGTAATGTGGGGGAGGGGAGGCCGGGCCGCAGCTCCCTCGGTTCGTCGGGTGGGAAGAAAGTAGAAATGAGCTCTGCGCTAAGAGTCGCGGGAGGAGCTCTGCGAGAGCGTGGTGAGCGCGGATCCGGGAAGAGAAACTTGCAGGCAGGGTGGATGGTGGTGGGAGGAGAGTCTGTCTACCGAGCCGGCTTTGAAGCGCTCGGAGGGGGGTCCCTGGATCCCGGCTGGAGGTGGGGCCCGCCCCGCCCCTTCCCAGGCTGAGCGTCCCAAGATTGGGCCATTCGCTCCGTCGCGCCCTGGCGGGTTAACGGGGTGCGTGTCTGCCCCGCCCCTGCTCTCCCGGTATATGGAAGAGAGGCCGCCCGCACCGCACCCAGGTCGAGATAGGACCTCGCCCAGGACCCCGAGCACCTGCCGCAGGGACCCGCGCCCTCACCTGGACCCTGCGCCCGACCCCCGACCCCTGGACCCTTTGCTGTCGCTGCCCTGCGTCTGCCCCCTCCTTCTAACGCGCTCTCTGGGTCCGGGTCCCTTCCTACCCACCCTTCCTACCCTGCTCCGGGTCCTCTGCTCCTCTCTGGGCCCCTCACCTCCGCGAAAGTCCCCAGGGCAGCCGGGGTCAGCCCCTTTGCCCAGGCTGGTGCAGGCCATGCAGCCGCGGGCGCTCTGGCTCCGGCTCGTGGCGCTGCTCCTGCCGCTCCTGCCGCTCCTGCCGTCTCCCTCGAGTGCCCCGAAGCCCTCCGCGCAGGACGTGAGCCTGGGCGTGGTGAGCAGGGGTCCTCGACTCCTGGGATCCGCAGGGAGGCTGGGAGAGGGTGGTCGGGCGCCTGGACTTCTATGGAGGAGAGAGCGCGCCGGATTCACGTGTTCAAAGAGTGACTGAGGATGGTGCCTGGGGACGCCCTGATTGTTGTATGTCAGGAAGTTTGGGGCCCAGTTTTGGAGATCTGGATTTGGAGTTCTGAAAAGGAGTGAGGATGGGCAGGGGATGGGGCTCCAACTCCTAGGTTCAGACAGAGACCGGCAAACCCAGCGCTGGGGGAACAGGCTGGCATCCGGGGCTGGGGGTCTCTGGGCTCCGGGTGCCGGGAGGGTGTGGCTTCCACACCCTCTGGCTTCATCTCTACCTTCCCATGAACTAGGACTGGCTGACCCGTTATGGCTACCTGCCGCCACCTCATCCCGCCCAGGCCCAGCTGCAGAGCCCTGAGAAGCTTCGGGATGCCATTAAAGTCATGCAGAGATTCGCTGGACTGCCTGAAACAGGCCTCATGGGTAGGTAGCCCCCCAACAGTTCTGCAGGCCTGCCTCTTGTCTCCCACCTGGCCATCCTCCAGCCATCTTTAAAAGTCCGCCTGCCCCTGAATCACAGGAGCTATGAGATTGCTGATCTTAGGTCCCAACTCGACCCTGGAGGCTCTCAGGCATTCCTCTTTCAGCAGACCTTTTTTGGAATCTCTTACACACCCAGCCACTTCAGGCCCACTGTTACAGCCATGGAAAAAGTAGATAAAATCCTTTTCTCCCACATAGCTGACGTCCTGGGGCAAGAGAAGCATAAATCAAGAACATAAATATGCAAGATGATTTCAGATAGTGCTGTGCATATATGTGTTTGTTTTGAGGTGAGGGGACTGAACTCAGGTCTCATGTATGTCAAGCAAGTGATTTACTGCTGAGCTGCATCCCTAGCCTAAGTGTGTTGAAGAAAATAAAATGCCAGTGATATTGAGGGGCTGGTCTGTGTAGGGCGGGTCTTTCTGAAAGATGTCATATGGGGTGAGACTACAAAGAGGAAGAGCCAGCCACGGGGAAATGTGGGAGAAAGTGTCCCAGCAAAGGCAAAGGCCCTGTGGCAAGTATAAGTTTACGCGCCCAGAGTGAAAGGAGGACTGAAGATCTTAGGCAAGGGCCTAGTTAGGGGACCTTTTAGGTGCTGGGTTTGAGTCCAAGGGTGATAAGAAACCAAGGGGAGTGGTTTGAAAAAAGGAGCAATTCTATCTGATTTGCTGTTTCAAGCTTCCTGTGGTTGCTGGGAGAGAGAGAGAGAGAGAGAGAGAGAGAGAGAGAGAGAGAGAGAGAAAGGAGGGTGGAGAACAAGAAGGAGGCCTTTGTTGGAGTCAGGCAAAGGATGATTGATGGTGTTGTGGTGTTGCTGGTGGCTGGGATGAGAGTGTGTATCTGTGGGGTCAAATGGAGGAAGAGAGAGCTTGAAGGACCCTGGCTTACTTCAGGGAAGGTTTTTTCTGACATGTCCATTCTTGGAACAGCTTTGAACAGTGTCTGGGAATCTGTATGTTCTTGATTACTATTTTTCACCTCAACTCCAGATGAGGTTTGACCTTAACTGGGAGGTGAGTGGGAATGGAGCTGAGCTGGAAAGGGGATTCCAAGTAGACCTATCCTTGGAGGGGGTGGCTTGCCACAGGGGACCTGCTGGGGACTTTGGACTTGATCAGCATGTCATAAGCACTTGGAGTGATGGGATGAAGTGTGGGCAGCCTCCCAGGGAGTTCCAGCTCCAAAGGGAAGGAAACTCATTCTGCCCCTGGGGCTGCTTTCTCCAGAGCCCATCTTCCGGGGCTCTGGAAAGGGGGACATGGGACCAAGCCTGAGCCTCAGAGTGCCCTCTGGAGCAACCAGTGCACCCCAGCCAGGTAGAAAGGGTACTGTCCACTGGGGACTGTGGTAATAGTCCAGTACAAGCTGGCTTCCAGAGTCAGGCAGCTTGAATTCAAATCTTGGGCAAATTTCTTAACCTCTCCAAGCCTCAGTTTCCCTGTGTAAAAAAGTTAACTAGTGCCTGATTTGGGCAGGTTTTCCTGCTGTTGACGCCACACCCCGCCCCACTCTGCCCCATTTCCTGCAGACCCAGTGACAGTCGCTACCATGCATAAACCCCGCTGCTCCCTGCCTGATGTGCTGGGGCTGGCAGGGCTCGTCAGGCGTCGTCGCAGGCGCTATGCTCTGGGTGGTAGTGTGTGGAAGAAGCGGACTCTGACGTGGAGGTAGGTCCTGGTGTCCCCCTGCCTGAGCCTGCCTGCTAGGCAGAGCTTCCTGGACCATCCTCTTCTTCCATAGCCACCTGCTCCGTCCTCTCTTCCCAGGGTCCAGTCCTTCCCACAGAGCTCACAGCTGAGCCCACAGACCGTGCAGACCCTTATGAGCTATGCCCTGACTGCCTGGGGCATGGAGTCAGACCTCAGCTTCCAGGAGGTGTTGTCTCCGCACCAGGAGGCTGACATTCTCATCGACTTCGCCCGGGCCTACCACCAAGACAGTTACCCCTTTGACGGGCCAGGTGGCACCTTAGCCCATGCCTTTTTCCCAGGGGAGCACCCCATCTCTGGGGACACTCACTTTGATGATGAGGAGATCTGGACATTTGGGTCAAAAGGTAAAATGTCCCATATTTGGAGAGGTCCTCTCCCCAAATCTGTCTCTTTTTTTGGTCCTGGGGATCTTGCGCATGTGAGGCAGGCAGCTGCACCACTGAGCTAAATCCCTGGCCTCAAATCTGTCTGTCTTGAATGAGTTTTAAATTAATTGATTGATGGAGCCTGAATCAGTCAGGTGTCTCCAGAAAAACAGAGCAATAGGAAGTGTGAATGTATAATGAGATTTAAGGAATGAATTTACAGGGACAACTGGGGCTGGAAAGGCCAAAATTAGTAGGGCAGGTAGGAAACTCAGGCAGGAATTCTGTTCTGTTCTTAGCGTAGAACTCCTTTCCTCTTAGAACCCTGTTTTTGCTCTTACATCCTGAACTGATTGGACATGGCTCCCTTACATTTGGGTTACTTGCCTTACCTTGGTCATGTCTCCAAAATACCTCACAGCAACATCTGGACCGGTGTGTGATCAAACCACTGGGCAACATAGCATGGCCAAATTGATACATAAAATTAATTCACCACTGAGGCCTATTGGTTCCTGGCTCTGAGCTGGGTTGACTCAGAAAGCCAAAACAACTTCTTTGTCCTGTAGCTAAGGAGGAAGAGTAACCCGCAATTACTACACACATGATGACACAACTGCTAGAAATGTCAGCAGAGGAAGTCCTACTGCTGCAAGTGCTCAGGGGAGGTATCAGCCCAAAACTCTAGGGTGAGGGGAGCACTCCTGGTCAGGGACAGCCCCATGCCTCCATTCACTATATATATATGCACATACATACATACACACTCAGCAGCAAACAGTGGAGGCTGGATGACACAATCCTGTTCTCCTGGAGCACACATTGAGGGGGGCAAACAGTGAGAAAGCACGAGTGAGATACCCGAGTGCCAGGTCATCAGAGGCAGGAGGAGCCACTAAGGGACTGCATGTCTGAGAGATTTTTGCTAGGAAGCAAAAGTATGGTATTGGGAGTGAGCTCACACAGGATGGTACTTTCCATGTCACAGAGGATCTTGTTTTTTATTTTTATTTTTTAATTTTTTTTGGTACTGGAGATCGAACTCAGGACCTTGTGCTTACGAGGTAGGTGCGGAGCCACTGAGTGAAATCCCTGGCCCCTTGTTTTGTATTTTGAGGCAGGGTCTCAGTATACAGTTCAGGCTATGTAGTATACAGTTCACTGTGTGGACCAGGCTGGCCTCGAACTCACAGCGATCCTCCTGCCTCAGCCCCCCAAGTGCTGGGATTACAGGTGTGAACCACCATGTCTGGCTCACAAAGGATCTTGGAAAACAAGTGCAAGGATTTAGACATGGTTCTGAAGGCAGTGGGAAGCCATCAGAAGACTTTGCATTCTATGAATATCCCTGGATCCAGCAGGGGAGGTGGATAGTGGCAAGGAGGCAGGAGTTGCTGCCTGGTTCAGGTAACAGACCAGGTGGACAGTGGCAGAGGGGACAGATGTGAGGGAAGTCAATTAGGATGGCCAAAGATTGGGCTCTTGTTGGATTCTGGGGACAAGGGATGAGGAGAGTAGAATGATGTCAGGGTCCAGCTCAGGGTCCTGGATGTGGCTTCTGCTAATGTACATGAGGGGAGGAGGGACAGGCTGATTGAAGGTGGGCTAAAGGCAGATTTGGATGGATGTTTGCAGTTCGAGGATGCTCCATGCAAATGGCACAAGCATTGACTTACTTGCTGTAGAACCTGGACTCCACTGTCCTAGGTCAGGCGGAGCTCAAGTTGGCAATTCTTAGGCAAGCAATTTCTCAGGGGCATGTGCTGAGGGGAAGAGAAGCAGTAGAGGGCCAGGTGCTGAGCAAGGATGTGGTCTCTGCTGGAGAGGAGCCTGGCCTCACAGAGCACTGCAGAATGCACGGGCCAGCTCTTTCCAGTCCCCTATGGGCCAGTCTGGCTGTGGGCTGCTAGAGGTGGAGAGGCTCAGCCATGGCTGGTGCCCAGGCCCTGTCAGGGGTTGACAGCCAGTCACAGACTGCAACAGGATGGCACGTCCTGCGGCATTAAGCAGGTGAGCTTTTACATTTTTGTTAATGAATTAATTTTTGCAATGCTGGGATCCTAAGGCCTTACCCAAGCTAAGCAAGCCCTTTTCTACTGAGGTACACTCCCAGTCCGAGCATGTGAGCTTTGAAGCTGAGTCAAGTCGCTTGTAATACACACAAGTTACTGAAGCTCACTTCTCCACTGAGAAATGGAGGTGAGGATAGCACTGATGGCAGCACAACTTGCAGGTTAGCCAGGTAATTCATCCACAGCCCTTCTTGCTCTCCACATCGAGAGCCACGGTCAGAGCTGGGCCTGGGGCACATTTTAGAGTGTGGGGGTGCTGGTGGTAAGCTCACTGGGAAAACTGTGTAGCATGCAAAGGTCAAGGACAAAGACTCGGAGCACCCCACAGCTAAAAGCTAGGCAGATAGGGAGGAGGAATTGACAGAGATGGAGAGTGAACAGGCTGAAAAGTGATGCAGAACAAGAATGAAGGAGGAAGTGGTCAGCAATGGCCAGCACAGCAAACAAATCCAGTAAATGGCACAGGCCTAGGTTTGTCATCCAGGCACCAAGTGACTTTTTTCTTTTTCTTTTTCTTTCAGTAGTGAGAATTAAACCCAGGTCCTTTCCACTGAGCTACATTCTCAGCCCTTTTTATTTTTATTTTTTACTTTGAGACAAGGTCTTTCTATGTCACAAAGTTACCAAGGCTGGGCCTAAACTCAGTCTTCCAGTTAGCCTCCCACAGTACTGGGATTATAGATAAGGACCACCAGGCCTCTCACCAAGGGACCTTTATAGTGCCTACAGGCTCCATGTCCATGGGTGGGGGAAGAATCCCAAACTGCAGTGGAGTTAGGCATGAGAAGAGTAGAAGTGAAGACCAACATTAGAGACAGATAGAGGAACTTTGGGGAGGGCAGACAGCAGTATGGCTGGAGGCCAGGGAAGCCGGCTGAGGAGTGTCTGAGGATGAGGGAGTCAGGAGCAGCAGGGACACTGGAAAGAAAGAGGGGGTGTGTGTGAGACACTGTCCTTGTCCTGGAGTTGCTCATACAGGGCAAGGCAGGAGGAAATGCAGCCATCTGTCCCGGGAGTGCTGGACCTTGGATTACACTGGAAACCTGTCTTTTTTTTTTTTTTTTTTTTTTTGCTTTAATTCTTTTATTGGTACATTTTAGGTACCAGGGATCGAACTTGGGTCCTTCTGCTTTCGAGGCAGGCGGCAGAACCACTGAGCTAAATCCCTGGCCCTTGGACACCTGTCTTGATGACATAGGAAGCACGCTTGTCAGCCCTTGTCACAGTGCTGACCCAGGGGCTGGGTCACAGCTTCCAGGAGCTGTGGGCTTGGAATGGAGGCTGAGAGGAGAATGCAAAAGAGCTGGCGGCCCCTGCAGCTGGCCTAGGGCAGGGATGAGAGGAGGAACCAGCACCCTCCCCCCAGCTGCATAGCGTGAGGAGGGTGCCGGAAGGGGTTGCTTACCCGGAAGCCTCATGCTGGGGAAAGGAGAGGCAATACAAGGAAGGAAGGTGAGAGAAGAGATCAAACTGATTGAAACTACCACCTTCCTCTGACTTCTCAGAAGGATTCCGAGTACTAAGAAGACCCAGAGTCAGCCCGGAAGTCCATGACACACGTGCAGTTTCAGTACGGACTGTCCAGGGGAGGATACACAGCTGAGAGCTGTCCTCAACCCTAGTCCTGCCTCCCACCTTGACTGCTCTGTGCCTCAGTTTTCTGTTTGTTGATTGAGGATTACAGGTAGAGTCTTGAGGTAAATGAGGCCAAGTGTTTGCTATTGCTTTTAGGACTTGCCTAATTATTTCACTCTTAGTCTCAGCTAGCAGCTGGCAGGGCCCAAAGGAAATGTGCTTTTCAATTCACCAGATCATTTCCAATAATCCTACTTCCAATGTTGCTGACCCTAGCTAGGGATTTCTACAAAACAAATCAATATCTGAAGACACCTATGCCTTGTTGGGATTGCTCAGCTCTGTCACTGTCTGGGTGTCTTCTGGTTGAGGCCTCTCTCCCAGCTGGAGTCAGATCCTGATTGAAGATCTGGGCTCTTCCAGCAGCCTGAAGAGGCTCTGCCCTGGCCCCAGGGATGGGTCCCAAGGGAAGAGGCTGGGGGCAAGACTGGGCACCACCACAACAGGCTGTGGTCTGAGAGTGCTTGCTGGAGGGAACTCAGAGTTCTCAGAGATGCAGGGCATGGAGGAAGGCCAGCAGGGGGGGAGGGCGGCTGTGGCCAGGGGAGTTGGGGGAGGGGTGCCAGATGTAGAGAGATGGGGGAGGAGAGGAGGGAAGGAGAAGGGAAGTGGGAGGTCCATGAGGGTTGGGGTTAGGAAATGGCTGGGGGTCTCTAATCATAAAATGGAGCCAGGAGGAGAGTATGCTCCAAGGACAGGAGCTTCCTGGAAAGAACTGTACACTCAGGGCTCCCGTCCCCCAAGTTTGTATATGCAGTTTTCCCTTCCTAGGGGAGTGACTAATCAGTGTAAGGCCACCCTTTCTCTGTCCAGTCTATGGGTCACTTTAGCCCTGATCCAAGTGTCAGCACTGCCAAACAGGGCTACCTAAAAGGTGGGTGAAGGAATACAGGAATGATGACATGATTCAACAAGGGGTCAGGGCCGTGGAGGCCTGGGTCCCCTCCCAAGGGTCTTCTGGCTCTTCCTGGTGGCCAGCAGACCCTACTCCCCAGCTGCCCCTCCTGGTGCAGGATGGCCTCAGCTGTCCCCCACTGTCCCCCTCTCCAGATGGTGAAGGGACTGATCTATTTGCTGTGGCAGTTCACGAGTTTGGCCATGTCCTGGGCCTGGGTCACTCCTCTGCACCCAACTCCATTATGAGGCCCTTCTACCAGGGCCCAGTGAGTGACCCGAACAAGTACCGCCTGTCCCAGGATGACCGAGATGGCCTGCAGCAGCTCTATGGTAGGACAACTTGGGGGGGGCCTCTCCTGAATCAGCCCCACTGTGGCTTTCCATTGGCCTCTGCCACGGGCTCACAGAACCCACACCTGTGTGACTTTCTCCTTACAGGGAAAGCGCCCCAGACCCCAAGTGACAGGCCCACAAGGAAACCCTTGGTTCCTTCTCCCCAGCCCCCAGCCCTGCCCCCTGACAGGTGAGTCCCGTACCAGCTGTGTGACCCAGGATGACCAGCTCCCCAGCCTCAGTATCCACCACAAGATGAGGATTGTGGTCAGGGGAGTGGAAGAGCCCCTGCCCTCTGCTCACTCTCCTTCCTTCCCCAGCCCCTCCATGCCTGTTCCTGACAGATGTGAGGGCCATTTTGATGCCATTGCCAACATCCGAGGCGAAACCTTCTTCTTCAAAGGTGAGTGGCTTTAGATGACCTCTGATCCCCTATATATGGCTTCCTACCCACTTTAGTTGACTCTTCCCCCGTGGTGGGAGATTTTCTGGGAAGTGAGATTTTTTTGGTGCTAAAAAAGGGGAAAATGCCTGGCAAGCCACTGAGAAGTTGGTCACCCTGGGTCCCTGCACCCTGGGTACACAGGAGCACCCCCCACACACCTGAGAAGAGCATGACCTGGCTTGCCACCGACAATTCTGTGGGACAGAACCTCCTGCCATGCTATGGCCCCGTGCCCTCCCCTTCTCCACCCGCAGGCCCCTGGTTTTGGCGCCTCCAGCCCTCGGGACAGCTGGTGTCCACCCGTCCTGCCCGGCTGCACCGCTTCTGGGAGGGGCTGCCCAGCTACGTGAAGGTCATCCAGGCCGCCTACGCCCGCCACCGAGACGGCCGAATTCTCCTCTTCAGCGGTGAGCGAAGGTTGGAGGGTGCCAGGGAGCCTCGGTCGGGCCGGGGATCCGAGCTGACCGCGTGCCTTCCCGCCAGGCCCCCAGTTCTGGGTGTTCCAGGACCGGCAAGTGGAGGGCACCGCACAGCCGCTCACCGAGCTGGGGCTGCCCGCGGGGGAGGAGGCGGACGCCGTGTTCTCGTGGCCACTCAACGGGAAGACCTACCTGATCCGGGGCCAGCAGTACTGGCGCTACGATGAGGCGGCCGCGCGCCCCGACCCCGGCTACCCACGAGACCTGAGGCTCTGGGAAGGGGCCCCGCCCTCCCCGGACGATGTCACCGTCAGCAATGCAGGTGGGAGAACTCGGGGCAGAGGCCGCTCAAACCTCCGAGTTACCGGCCCTTGGGGATGGGGTTTGGGTCAGGGCTCCGGGTGGAGTGGAGGATGGCAGAGCAGGAGTCCTGGAGGACCTGGGGAGAGGAGGGCTGCGGTGGAGACAGGTCTGGACCAAGCTCCTGAAGTGTGTCCTCCTCCCCAACAGGTGACACCTACTTCTTCAAGGGTGTCCACTACTGGCGCTTTCCCAAGGGCAGCGTCAAGACCGAGCCGGACTCCCCCCAGCCCATGGGGCCCGAGTGGCTGGACTGTCCTGTTCCCAACTCTGGCCCTCCAAGCCCCAGGCCCCCTAAAAAGACCCCCAAGTCCGGAACCTGCGATTGTCAGTGCGAGATCAATCTGGCTCCGGGGCGGCTCCCCGCGCCCCTCCAGCTGCCCCTCCTGCTCCTGTTGGCGGGAGGGGTCTCCTCCTGCTGAGGGGGGTCATCCAGAGTTGAGCAGCCCCCTGCAAGGAAGGGGGCCTGAGTCCACCGCGGGACCAGTGTGGGATTGTGAGCCACTGCCAGCCCCAGTGTAGACTCCCACCTCGGGGCTTCCCCAGCGCGGAGCTGGGCGGGGTCCTTGAGGTGGGGAAGGGGGTGCGACCTAGCTCTGACCACTCACCTGCCTCAGCGCGCTCTCGGTGGCACTAGAGGACACCTGCTCCTGGAGCCTGCCGCCAGGGGGCGCACACACAACGCCCATAACCCGCACTGCCCCTCACGGTTGGTCCCTGCGGCCGCCAGGGGGTGGTGCGGACCCTCCCTCCGGATCCCTGAAAGGTCCAGATGCAGGGCGTTTAGCTAGAGAGCGTGGGCGAGTGGCTGGGCAGAGCTGGTGGATTGGACACAAGACGTCCCCTGGCGGTTTGGAGGGAGGGGACTCAGTCCCCGGCCGCAATGACCCAGCAGGCCTCTCCTTTTCCCGAAACAGCGAGGCTCTTTCTCTTTCAGAACACAGTCTGTGGGCTCTCTCCAGCACCCCTACCCCCACCCTAGTGGACAGTGACTAGAGTCTGATTGGGCTGTTAAAAGACAGATCAGATCAGGACATTGAGTTGCAGCCCCTCTTCCCCCGCTCTTGTCTTCAAACCTACTTGGTCCTCTCACCCTGTCCCGCTCCTACCACACCCCACTACTGTAACCGCCATGGCGGGGAGCAAGACTGGAGACCTCCCCGGCTGGCCCAAGCCCCACATCCTGGATGACATCGTGGCCACCCTTCCCACCTCTGGTCTGGGACTTCCTTTCCATCACTCTCACTTCAGGCCATACAGCCTGGGCACCACCCAAAACCCAGAATGTCTCACATTCGTGAGACAGTCTCCACATCCTCTGTGTGCTCCTTGCTAAGGAACCACAACTTTGCTTTAGAACAGCGTGGCTCCTACAGGCTCAGGGCTGCTGGGTGGGCAGGGATTCTTCTCAGCGTGCCTTTTCAGCACTCCTGGCAGGTCCTATAGGTAGTTCTAGGGTGAGGCGTTCTAGGGTGAGACCTGGGGCACCTCATCACCCCTATTCCCCAGATTCAGGACCTGCGTCTATGATTCTGGTATATTCAACACCAGAAATCACCCGTGGGAATTAAAAATGCAGATCCTCACCATTTCTCCATTTACAACCAAATCAGTTTCATGATGTTTAAAACTTCTACTGATGTCAAATGGAGGAAAGGATTGGAAAAAATTTTTTTATGAAGTAATAAAATTTAAAGCTGAGCTTTTTTTTTATTTAAAAAAAATACAGATCTCGTACCTGCACCCTGAATCCTCACTCTAGGAATAAAGTCAGAAATCTACTTTTTTTTTGGTACCGGAGATCAAACTCAGGACCTTGTGCTTTCGAGGTAGGTGCAGTGCCACTGAGCTAAATCCCTGGCCCCAGATATCTACATTTTAACAAGCTTGGGTGGGATGTGTGCCTGACAGGCAAAGGGAGCTGGCTGTCTCATGGCATTACTATGTCCTCCCTCGAAGGCTCCAGTCTTCATGTATTCTCTACAGGGCCAGGCTCATGAGCTTGGTTGAGAGGTGTCCATTCCCCCTGAGTTGAGTCACTTGGAGGGCCACTTTGTGGTTTCCCTATAGCCCCAGTGGTCCCATAGTGCTTTGGGGAGCCGAAGCTGTGGACAACACTTCAAGAAACCAGGAGAAGTTGGCCCCACTTGTTCTTGACCCTCAGATCAGCATGAGAACAAGAGTCAGATATCCTCAACCAGTTTATGACCTGATGAATCTAAGCCACTTGGGAGCCATCTGGGGCTCCCTCAGATTCCTTTCCAAGTAGGAGGAGAGGGAAAATGCCCTACTCTGGAGGAGAATAAAAACAGAGAGAAAGCCCTTCTTCATTTCTTCTGAGCACTGATGGTCCTGAGGTGAAATTGGGTGGCAGTAAATGAACAGGCATGAATTGCTCTGCTTTGCAGAAGTTGGAATGAATCCAGGGTTGTTCAGGGCAGGGGGTTTTGAAGTAGAAAGAGGAAGAGGGCACAGAGGGAGGAACCCAAAGGTTGATTGAGAGGAAGCCCAGAGGAAAAGATGATCCTTGAGAAACCAAGATGTTTTCATGGCTACATGTAAACTCCAGTCATTACTACTTTATTGACTACCACACAGACTGGTTATTTTTATTTTAAAAATGGTACAGTAAAAACATGATACAAGCTCATAGCCAAAATTAATTTTCTTTTTTGTGTGTGTGGTACTGGGGATCGAACTCAGGACCCTGCACTTGCAAGGCAGTAGTGGCACCACTGAGTGAAATCCCCGGCCCTAAAATTGAAATCTTTTCTTTCAAAGGACACTATTAGGAACTTGAAAGACAACCCCCAGCATGGGAGATATTTGATTATATATATCTGATAAGAAAGAACTCATAACTTAATAATAAAAGGACAGCCAAATTAAAAATGGGTAAAAGATCTGAGCATACATTCTTCTCAGATAGATGAAAGGCATATGAGAAGATTCTGGAGCATCATTAGCATGGAAGTACAAATTAAAAAATAAAATAGGAACTGGGCTTGGTGGTGTACATCTATAATCCAGAACTCTGGGAGGCTGAGGCAGGAGGATCACAAGTTTGAGCCCAGCCTGAGCAACTTAGTAAGCTAGCAAGACCCTGTCTCAGAAAAAAAAAAAGAGCAAGGACTGGGGATGTAACTCAGTGCTATGGCTTTGGGCTCTATCCCTGGTACTGGAAACAACTATTTAAATTCACTAGGATTAAAGAGATAGATAATAACAAGTGTTGATAAGGAGGTAGAGAAACTGGAACCCTCACACTCTGCAGCTGGGAATGTAATGTGGTGCAGACATTGTGGAAAAAGTTTGGCTATTCCTCAAAATCTGAAAGACGGGGCTGGGGATTTAGGTCAGTGGTTTTGCCACCTGCTGTGCAAGCGCAAGGACCCGAGTTCGATCCCCAGTACCAAAAAAAAGAAAATGTGTTTGGGGCCGGGGATTTAGCTCAGTGGTTCCGGGCCTGCCTCGCAAGTGCAAGGTTCTGAGTTTGATCCCTGGTACCCCCCCCCCAAAAGATCTGAAAGACATTTGCCCTCTGACTCAGCAGTCCTACTCCTAGCTCCACATCCAAAATGAAAAATCCACACAGGAATGTGTGCAAGAGGGCCTGAGATGTAGCTCAGCAGCACTGCACATCCCTGGCAAGTGCAAGGTCCTGAGTTCAATTCCCAGTTCTGGGGGAAAAAAAAAAAGAAATGTGCACGAGAAGCAGATGGAGTACATGACTGTAATCCCAGTGTTGCTGGGTTGAGAGTTTTGCTTGTTAAACTTCTTTTTATTTTAGACAGGATCTCACTACAGATATTCCTCATTTAATGACCTACCTGTTTAATGACTGTTTGAATTTATGACAGAACCACACTGTACAGACTTACAATCCGTTGCTCTGACTACGACCTGTCTTTTTTGGTGTGTGTACAGTTCTGTATATCTTGTTTATAGAGCATCCATGTTTTCTTCTTGGTACAGTACACCTTGTTTATGTAGTGCTGTAGTTTTTGCTGATTGTACTGTACAGTATAGTACTGTAGTTTAATGTGTTACACATTACAGTACTGCATGTAAGAGTTATACAAATAAAACCAGTCATTAAGTTGGAGTTTCTTTTGACCATTTCTTTGTTCTGAATATTGGATTGTACATACTATATACATTTTCTTATTTAGCAACCAATTCATTGAATGACCTAGTGGCAGGAACGTAACTTGGTTGTTTCATTCCAATTTTTACTATATGTACTGCCAGAGCAGGCATGTGACTCGGTGGTTAAATAAGGAATGTCTGTGTATAGTTGAGGCTGGTCTCAAACACAGTGATCCTCATGCCTCAACCTCTAGAGTGCTAGGATTACAGGCATGGCCCACCACACCTGGTTTTTGTTGTTGTTGTTGTTGTGTTTTGTTTCTTTGGGGAGTTTGTTTTGCTTTTTGAGACAGGGTCTCACTATCTAGTTCAGGCTGGCATTGAATTCAGTATATAGCCCAGGTTGGCCTCGAACTCGAAGCAATCCTCCTGGCTTAGCCTCCTTAACTGGCACAGTTATAGGTATGTGTCACCACACCAGGCTTGTCCAGGTTCTTGATGTCCTAAGCAAAGAATTGAACAGGACATCTAAGAGTAGCTGTAAGATCAAAGATTTATATGAAACCTAGTGTCTATGGAGCTGTTGGCAGGAAACCCACTTCAGCAGGGTCCTGGTCTGTGACTCATGCAGAGGCTGGGAGGTCTGGGTGGGGTTAGGTCCTGGATTGTACACCCTAAGCCACCCAGACCCTGAACAGGTTCCATCTCTCCTCCCTCTTTGTGGGAAGCAGGAATTACACCCCAAACACCAGGGTTGCTTTGCTGCTTCACAGAAGACAGGGTCCCGGTGGCTACGGTGACCTTTGGAAACAAGGTACTCAGATGGTCCCAAGGAGTGCTGGTGTGACTGAAGTAGTGGTGGCAGGAGGGGCTGTTCCTCTGTCCCCCTCTCCAGTCCTAACAGATTCCTGCCTGGGTCACCTTTCACTCGGGGCCAGAGAAGGTGCTGGAAACATGGACCTGGCACCTTCTGAGGAGTGTGCTTCCTTGCAAGTCCTGTGTGTGGTGGAGTGTGCAAATGCCTGTGTATGAGAGAGCATGGAAGTAGCTTGACTCAGGGCATAGAGGTGGGAGAATATCACGGAAGGCCCGAGTGTCACTGTTCTTTCCACAGATCAGAAATGGTTCCTTGGGCAGGGGATTTAGCTCAGTGGTTCTGCCACCTGCCTCACAAGTGCAAGGTCCTGAGTTCGATCCCCGGTAGCAAAAAAAAAAGAAATGGTTCCTTCCTTGCTGGGGGTGTAGGTCAGTGGCAGGACACACACACACACACACACACACACACACACGCACAGATCCCCTGGAGACTGTAAGGTCCGACATGGTAAGGTGGTTCCCATGTGTGCTTGGGGTCATGGGTGAAGGTCTGGGTTCCCAGCCTGTGACGCTGAGGAGGTTGCCACTTACCTAGGACTTAGGGCAGAAAAGGATCAGGCCTGGTGACCCCAACTCTGCGTCTCTTCACTTCTCCAGGATGGAGGCAGCTGCGTTGATTATAAAGGGCCAATGTTATGGCTTGTATCTAGGTGTCCCCCCAAAGCCTCATGGGCTCATAGGTGGGGCTTTTAGGAGATGGCTGGGTTTAGGGTGTTTGAATATGGATTAAGGGTGTGCGATAACTAAATTAGTCCACTGATTGGTTTAGTATAGTTCTAGTTGTGGCTGAATGGATTTACTGAAAAGGGAAGCCCTACCCTGAGTGTAGGTGGCACCAACCAATAGCCTTGTAGCCTGAATGGAATGTAAAGGGACAGAAGAAGGCAGGCTCACTGCTTTCTGCTTTCTGCCAGCTATGAACTGTTTCTCCTCTGCGATGCCCCTCTGCCATGCTGCCCTGCTTTGGAGCCCGTCGACTATGGGCTGAAAGCTCTCCTTTAACTTGTGGATGTCAGGTATTCTGTCTCAGCAATGAAAAAGTAACTAAGATAACATCAAAAAACATGGTGTGTGTTTACATTTTTTAAAAAGTATTACAGTTAAAGACACATTGCCATTGGGCCGGGGGTTTAGCTCTGTGTTGCCGTCGCCTGCCTGCCTCACAAGCGAAAGTATCCAAGTTTGATCCCCGGTACCAGAAACAAAACATAATGAAGACACATTGCCATTAATGGCCTCAATGCTCTTCTCTTTGAACAAACACCTCCTGAAACAGTTCTGGAAGTCCTCTTTCATGAGTGTCTTTAGTTGTGCTGTTGTGGCTGCTTCAGTGGCTGCTTCTGTGGCTGAATCAACTCAAGACATTTACCTTTCATAGTCACTTTGACTTTGGGGAAGAGGCATAAATTGCACAGTGCCAGATCCAGTGAGTAAGATGGTTGAGGACACACTGTAATGTTTTTATTTGACAGAAATTGCCCTAAACATCTTCAATTGACTCAGAACATCAAAACAGCCACAAAAAAGATGGTCACAAAAGAGAACTTCCAAGCTGGATGCAGTGGCACAGGCCTGTAATCCCAGCCCTTGGGAGGCTGAGGCAGGAGGATTGCCATGAGTTTGATGCCAGCCTGGGCTGCATAGTGGGCTCAAAGCCAACCTGAATTACATAGCAAGACCCCGTCTCAAAAAACAAAAATGGGGGTGGGGATTTAGCTCAGCTGTACAGTGCTTGTCTGGCAAGAGCAAGGTCCTGAGTTTGATCCCGATAATGGAAATAAAAATCAAAAAACAAAACAAACAAATGAAAAAGGACTCCCAGAACTGCTTCAGAAAGTGGCAAGAATGATGGGTTAAGTATATCTGAATCAAAGGAGAATATTTTGAGGAGGATTAAAGGCAAAATATCTTTTACTGTAATATTTTTTAAATTAAATATTCACTGTATCTTTTGATTGTGCCATGTATAAAAGATCAGTATGAAAGAAATGGACAGGTGAGTCACTTTGCCATCAGGCTGCAGGGCACATGTCCCCACCCTCAGCTTTTTTTTTTTTTTTTTGGTACCGGGGATCGAACTCCGGTCCTTGTGCTTGCAAGGCAGGCGGTGGAACCACTAAGCTAAATCCCCGGCCCCCACCCTCAGCTTCTGCACAGGAGGTGGGGGTAGTCTCCAGAAGGTGACAAGCTGCTTCACAGAGACCTACAGTTCAGCAACTTCCCAGTTCACACCATGTGGCAGGGGATGGCCATGGTGGGAATATGTCTGCCTAGCAAGGTTGGGGAGGTGTCCCTGTCCCATAGTATACTGAAGACACAGCAGGGATTCCGGGCAGGTAACCCCAGGGGAATAGATAAGGAACAAGTGTCAGGGCTGAGAGCAGGCAGGGGCTTGAGCCTGCTCAATTTGAACCTTGTGATTCTTTCAGGGCAAGTTATGCCAAGCAAAGCATGAGCAGAGCTTTTGTGACAGGTTGTAGCAATATTTGAGATATGCTGCAGAAAGTGAAGAGAAGGTGCCATTCGATGGCCTGAGCTCTCGGCATGCTGGATGCTATGTTTCCAGGGCTCAAGGACGTCACCTTTGGCAGGTTCTTTCTGGGAGTGTAGGGAGGTCAGTGGGGTCTGCGTGGCACAGTAGGGCACCACCACAGCCCTGGCTTCCTCACCCTTGCCCTGAGTGTTCTGCAGTGACCTTCACCCTCCTGCTCAAGCTTACTGTTTGCTTTATAGTCCTTGACTCCATCCCTCAGATTCTCCTGGGGCCCTGCCTGTAATCTCCCTGCAGGTCGGGCCTGTTGCTCTGACCCTTGCCCCTCTGGTCTGTAACAAAAATTGCTTGAACAAATTAAGTCCTTATCTCTGGCTTTTGCTCATTTCTTTGTTTTTGTTTTTTGTTTTTTGAGTCAAGGTCTTGCTATTTTGCCCAGGCTGGGGTTGAACTCAAGGGCTCAAGCTATGCTCCCACCCCATTTCCCCAAGTACATGGTGCCCTGTTAATTGCTTACACAGAAACTCCTGGACCTATCCCTATGATCAAGTCCCCCAACCAGGGCAGAGGATGGGCCACCTACTCAGTCCAGAATGGAGGCAAAGGAGGGAGGGGCAGTAGTCAGATCTTGGGGCCTGAGGCCTCATCCCATCTGGAACCAAAGAGTTGGGGAATAGAGGAAGGCCTCAGGGGGGAATAGAGCAAGGCCCCTCCAGCTGTTTCTGAGGCAGAAGAGCCCCCTCCTTTCCCACTTCCTGCCTCAGGCTGATGTAGACCCATCTGGCTTCCCACTCAGGGGTGTTTGGAAGCACCCAGAAGCTGCTGAGATAATGAGGTGGAGTGAGGTGGGGCCCTGCCCTGATGGTCCTGGGGCCCCAGG